CGGTTCATGGGTTCAAGTCCCACATCGGGCTCTGACAGCTCAGAGACTGGAAACTGCTTTGGATTCTGTGTCTCCCTCTCTCTCTGCCCCTCCCCCATCCACACTCTGTCTTTCTCAAAAATAAATAAACTTAAAAAAGAAAACCTGATATCATAAATACACCTGCAATGAAATTTCAAAGGCTGCTTATAAATCACTCAGCCAAGCAAAAGTAAACAAATCATAAGTATCTCAAGAATAAAATACATCTTAAGTATTTTTAAATGACTGTGTGCCTCAATTTCATGATCTGTAAAAGGGGATAATAATAGTTTTATCATAGGGTTAATACAATTATATTCTTAGGGATGATAGTATTATCTACATAATAGGATTGTTATGAGGAATACGTAGTTTGATATTTGTAAAGTGCCTGGCACATTACGCATTTGTTGAATAAGTAAAAAAAAAATAGCAGGAGATTCACAGATTGTCAGGATTGGAAGAGAATGTAGGGAACATGGGCCAAACCATTCCTTTTTTTTTTAATGTTTATTTTTATTTTTGAGAGAGAAAGAGAGAGAGCCCATGAGCCAGAGAGTGATATAGAAAGAGGGAGACAGAGGATCTGAAGCGGGCTCCATGCTGACAGCAGAGAGCAAACCCATGAAACTGTGAGATCAAGACCTGAGCGAAAGTCGAACACTTAACCAACTGAGCCACCCAGATGCCCCAAACCATTCCTTTTAAGAGATGCAGGTGAGTTCCAAAGAAGGAAAATGATTCACCTGTAGTCTTTTACAGTTGATTAAACTAGTGACAGAGGGAGTAGAAATAAAGACTCTTGATTTCCCATCAAGAGTGCTTTTAAATAAGAAACACATAATAGGTACCAATATAGGACAGATTTAACAAATCCAAACTTTCATATTTAGCCAGATTCTTAGCTTCTGGAGGGCTGTGTCTTGTCAATCTTTGCATTTACGGTGATAATCTGAATGTCCCATTTACAGTAGCATTCTATAAATATTCACTTAGACTCAAGGTAATATGATGAATTACTTCACATTTGAGGCACTCAGAGCTATTTGAGGCTTAGAATTGATAAAGCAGGAGTGTTTTGAAGAAGGAACTTTTTAGGAATGGCGATTCTTCTAGCCCCTTTCAAATTTTGCGTGCTAAATTCATAGCCTGGTATATAACACACATTAACGCTCAGTGAATGCTAACTATTCTTTTAGGAACTTGTTTCCTAGGCCAAGATATGATGGTATCACTTGACCATTAGCACAGAGGCACTGCCAGATATGATCCTCTTTCCTTTACAGGTATTGTCAGATAGCAGTTTGGGGCAAAATGTCTAATGTGGCAGAAAGGGGTTGCAAGCAGGTGGTAAGCTGTTACCCAAATGTCAGTCACTGTTCCCTTGAACAGTGATTGATGACTTCCATATGAAGGCAAAGTTCATCAGTCCTGCAGGATTTCTCAGCCCATATCGTCCTCTGCCCTCCTTTAAAGTTTTATGATGTTTGTTTCCTGTCAGCACTATTTTTATTTCATTGGATCCTGTTGGGGATTTTCCTGTTTATTTTTCTTCCTGTTTCTCAAAACAGGAATTAAAAGATAAAGATGAACAATTATAAAGCACTTTGTAGTGACCTTTACAAAACTATTATTAAAACTCTTTCAAGGCTTCCGCCCTTGGCTACCGGTCATCACACAACAGTTAGAGGGCAAAGAAGCGGGAACCGAAAGAGGTCCTGAGGCTTCGGGCTGCCACTCAAACCTGCTCTCATCTGGTCTGAACCCTTCACCACGGCTCATTCCTCCGCAGGAAGCATTTTCCTCTGGAGTCCGGTATTCACCTCTTTGGCATGTTTCTCATCCTACCTCTTAGGTCGCAAATTCCACTTTCCAGCTGTGTGGTCCTGGGCAATGGTTCTTACCCTCTCTGAGCCTCAGCTTCCTGTTGTGCTTGGAGGAAATGTTCTGTGGTGAGGTCCAGGGAGAGGCAGGTCATGGAGGAACAGTGGCAACAGGGCAGAGAGGAGATGGGCCCTGGTGGCTACACCATTGCAAGCAGACAGACTGGGGTGGAAACTGACTCCTCCACTCAGCAGACCTCAGGTAACTTACATAACTTAGGCTAATTCCTTTTCTTGTTGCTGTTTTTATTTGAATTCGAGTTAGCTAACATACGGTGTCAGAGGAGTTTTGGGTGTACAATTTAGTGATTCCACACCTCCGAACCACACTCGGGGCTCATCACAACTTAGGCCTATTCCTAATCATGACTCTTAATGTCAATATCTCACATGCATTTCCCTCTGATTCAACCGTGTAGGCTCGCACCTCACTCCTTCTTATACCCCAACTCTACTGCTAAAGTTTCAACTCCCCTGAGATCTATGGTCATTGATTCTTCTACCTTTTTGCACCTCTTCATGTCCTCTTCTCCTCTTTACCCAGCTTAATGTCCATAGTCCATTATTATAACTGTGCCTTTGCCACTATCTTCAATTCCCCTCTCCTGTCTCCCTTCATCCAATTTGTTGGTCAGACCTCCAAGCTGGCTGAATCCAATTCTCCACCTACATAGTGATTGCACCCATGTGGCTAAATGTAGCCAGAAAATAACAATTAACCATGCTGTCTTGTCACCCTTTACACATGATTACACATTTCAAAAGGGCTTGTGTTGAAGCCTGGAAATACTATTAAACTTTCCTAGTCCGTCTAATCTCCTATTTGTCTGTATTTTACATTCTCTCCTAACTCCTTAAACTTCTTTCTCCACCCTCACTCTCAGTTGGTGACCTTACTTCTTACTGCACTTGGAAGAGAAAATTGGGAAAAAGAAAGAAACTTCCATATGTTCCTATGACTATGTCTACCACTTCACAGGCATCTGTACCCATATGGTCTCACTCTCCAGTTACTGAGGCTGAATCTTCTCTCTTCCCATCTAAGGCCAGTTTCCAGGCTCATGCCCTAGATCCCATCATCTCTCACCTACATAGAGACATCCCTCTTGTATTTCTCCCTTCTCTCTCCCACACGATTAGTTTTGCCCTTGCTACTGGATCATTCCCATAAGTGCTCAAAGATGCTTCCATACTCTCATCTTAAAAGCAACCAAACAAGGAAAACAAACTTCACTTGATCTCCACCTACTACCCCACTTCTCTGTTTACTTTTATAGTAGAATTTTCCAGAGTTTTTCATACTAGTTGTCTTTGCTTTCTCTTTCCTTATTTTCTCTCTTGTACTCAATATGCTTGGATTTTGTTCCCACCATCTCACTGGAAAGAAAGAAAGAAGAAGAAAGAAAGAAAGAAAGAAAGAAAGAAAGAAAGAAAGAGAGAAATTTGTGGCCTCCATGTTGTTAAATCCAGTGCTCTTATCTGGATTGAAGTATCAGGACCAGTGACCCACTTAATCATTACCTCCTTCTTTCAACGTTTATTTATTTTTGGGATAGAGAGAGACAGAGCATGAACGGGGGAGGGGCAGAGAGAGAGGGAGACACAGAATCGGAAGCAGGCTCCAGGCTCCAAGCCATCAGCCCAGAGCCCGACGCGGGGCTCGAACTCACGGACCGCGAGATCGTGACCTGGCTGAAGTCGGACGCTTCACCGACTGCGCCACCCAGGCGCCCCTTTACCTCCTTCTTTAAACAACTCTTTCACTTGGCTTCTGGAATACCATTCACTTCCTACCTCATTGGACATTTCTGTTTAACATCCTTTATGGTTCCTCCTCAGCTCAACCTCTATATATTGGACTCCTCTGGGGATTCCTCTTCTGCCCTCATTGCTCTCTTCTGTATTGATATTCACTTCCGTGGTGATATCATTCAGTTTCAAGGCTTTAAGTGCCATCTATGTACTGGCAATCCCAAAATGTATATCTTCAGCAGAGCCTCCTACATGAACTCAGTATTCATGCAGTCAGCTGCCTGCTCAATGTCCACTCAGATGTTTAAAAATCACCGTAGGTTAACATGTCCCAAACCAAACTCAGATCTCATCACCCCCACTGACCTGCTTCTCCTTCAGTTGTCCCTTTCATAGTACATAGCATTGCTATCTTTCTAGTTGCTGAGGTCAAAACTCATCATTAAATCTCCCTTCTTTCTTACCTTCTCACATCTAGTCAACTAGTATATCTTGTTAGTTTCACCTTCAAAATAAATCCAAAAATTGACAGCCTTCTCACCACTACCCTGTTTTCCTTCCAACACCATAGACATGTGAGGTTATGTCACATCTAGTCTTAAAACCTTTGGATGTTTTCCCTCTCAGAGTAAAAGCCGGAGTCCTTCCAGGGGTTCACAAAGCCCCAGGTCCTACAGGGCCTGACTGCTCCCCGCCTTGTTCATCTCTCCTAGAGCTCTTCCTCACCCTCTTAGGTAGAGCCATGCCAACCTTTTAGCTATTTCCTGGACACATAAAGCAAATGTCAGCGTGAGAGGCTCTGTATTTGCTGTTTTTCTGCCAGTAATGCTTTTTTTTTTTATTTTTTAAACATTTATTTATGTTTGAGAGACAGAGATAGACAGAGCATGAGCAGGGGAGGGGGAGAGAGAGAGAGAGGGAGACACAGAATCTGAAGCAGGCTCCAGGCTCTGAGATGTTTGTTAGCACAGAACCCGACGCAGGGCTCGAAATCACAAACTGCGAGACCATGACCTGAGCCGAAGTCGGATGCTCAACCAACTGAGCCACCCAGGCGCCCCATCTTCCAGTAATGCTTCTACCTCATGGCTCGTTCTCTCACATCCTTCAGAATTCAACTCAAATATCTGCTTCTGCACGAGGCTTTCTCTGTTTGTGTTATATAAAATAGTGCATGTATACATATTCACCCACCCCCAAACATTCCTCTGAACCCTGATTTATTTTTCCTATGGCAGTCACCACTGTCTGATGCACAATATGTTCCCCTATTCATTTACCTTTTTTTGTCCTCTTTTGCTCACTGCTGTATCTCCATTATCTAAAATGGGGCCGAGAAACAGCCGCATTCAACAAACATTTAATGAACAAATGAATGAATGGAGCTAACGTGAGTGTTAAATTAATTCATGTATGTGTACAGGAATCAGTGTGCTGTCTTAGTGTTTCTCAGCTTTTTCTGGAACTGCCCTCGCCATCCTGTAGTTAACGCTGGGAAACAGCATGCTGTGTAGAGGGGTGCGACCCCCTGGCTACCACTGATAGGACAGGGATGGACACCCTGGGCCAACTGTTTCTTCCGGGGGAATTTGGTGCTGGGAATCAGGGAGCCGGGCCATTTACTGACACTGTAACCTATCTTTCCACAGCAGCTGCAGATCTTGTTTCCAGCCAAAAGGACCAGATGCAGAGGTATCTATCAAAAAGAGAGAATAAAATGATCAGAGAGAAGCAGAAGTGACAGATGGCAACAGGATCCGTGCAGGGCTCTAGGCCCCAGCAGCAGTTGTTCCTCAAATCCAAACAGATCCCTGTCCTTTCTGCTCCATTAAGGAGAAACCCAGCTCTGTGTCTGCCATGATGATAGGTGGTTAATAAATATTAATTGAATATGAAACTTGAGAGGGTGGGGATCATATCTACATCTGTTTCATCTCAAGATCTTCACAATTAATCAAACCAAATGAAGTTACAAAAATAAACATTGTGTGAACTTTTGGCATCTCACCTAGTTTGACAACGAGGAGATTCTGTTGTCTTGGAAGGTGGCACAATTATGCAATGACGACCGGCCTCACAACAGGAAACCTGAGTTCTGGTCCAGCTGTGAACCTGAGTTGGTTATCAACCCTCTCCCATCCCTGTTTTCTCATCTGTAAAACAAGAGGCAGGATTAGATGGCTTGTAGTCTACTTTCTAGGTCTCAATTTTAGAAGTTTTAGTCCTTAATGACATGGAGGCACATTCTTTTCTTGTTGATAAATACTTCAGACATTTTAAACATGTCTTTTTTGGTGACTGCAACATATTGGAGCCCTTCATCTGTGGGTGGAGTTTTCCACCTCATAAATCTTGGTGGGAGACATCGAAAACCCCAACTATGCAGTCTCCTATTTCTTTTGTGCCTAGCACTAGGTTACACGAGGGAAGCTAGAGCCATGAGACCCAGCCACCAACACTGAAATGGGAACCTGTCACTAGCTGGGTTCAAGTGCAGCCAAGAATCCATTCCAGAGACAGGCGGTGGTAGTAGCCGTGGCACTTCTGGTGTTTGCCATTGTGACGTCCTCTGTCAAGGGTACAGAGGTGCCAGCTTGGCATCCAGTATTCATGGAGGGAGTGTGGAGTCCTCAGGGCATGTAGATTGGTAACATGATGGCTATGGTCTTGGCTTGACTTCAGGTTCTACTTCCCTTCTGGCTTCTTCAGGCTTCTTATGATTCTGTAAGATGCTATCTTTTCAATGAGATCTTTTTTTTTTTAAGTTTATTTATTTTGAGAGAGAGAGCATGAGAGGGGGAAGGGCAGAGAAAGAGAGAAAGAATCCCAAGTAGGCTCTGCACGGGTAGCACAGAGCCTGACATGGGGCTTGAAATCATGAACAGTGAGATCATGACCAGAGCCAAAATCAAGAGTCAGAGGCTTAACTGATGAGCCACCCAGGTGCCTCTTGATGAGCTGCTCTTTTTAACCAAAGTCACAGGTCACAGGTCGCACATAGTATTCTCCCGCCAGCCCCAACTTCTGTGGATAAGAACGATGATTGAAAAAACAAATTAAACAAAGGCAGAAGAGTCCTAAAACCACTTCCCCAGTACAGGTAAGGTAACTAAAGAAATGAGGTCAAAGGCTTCCTATGACTCCTGACTCCATCACTTTCACAGGAAGAATGTATGAGCTTTACATGAATAACAGAACCAGAGAGGACCTGAGACATCATTTAATCTAAGTGTTTCACTTTTTCTGAAGGGGCCAATTTCTTGTTCAGAATCACACAGTGAGGTCCAGAGGTGGGATTCACGTCTCTCTAAGATCATTTTCAGGATTTTCCTTACTGTCCAAACTGCATCTGGTTGGGTCGCACATTATTTCTTTTTACATTTTTTCCCCATTTTCATCTTTTTTTTTTTTTAGATTTTAAATTTTATTTTTTATTTTTTAAAATTTACATCCAAATTAGCATATAGTGCGACAATGATTTCAGGAGTAGATTCCTTAGTGCCCCTTCCCCATTTAGCCCATCCCCCCTCCCGCAACTCCTCTAGTAACCCTCAGTTTGTTCTCCATATTTATGAGTCTCTTCTGTTTTGTCTCCCTCCCTGTTTTTGTATTATTTTTGCTTCCCTTCCCTTATGTTCATCTGTTTTGCCTCTTAAAGTCCTATGAGTGAAGTCATATGATTTTTGTCTTTCTCTGACTAATTTCACTTAGCTTAATACCCTCCAGGTCCGTCCACATAGTTGCAAATTGCAAGATTTCATTCTTTTTGATTGATGAGTAATACTCCATTGTATATATACACCACATCTTCTTTATCCATTCATCCATCGATGGACATTTGGGCTCTTTCCATACTTTGGCTATTGTTGATAGTACTGCTGTAAACATTGGGGTGTATGTATCCCTTCAAAACAGCACACCTGTATCCCGTGGATAAATGCCTAGTAGTGCAATTGCTGGGTCGTAGGGTAACTCTATTTTTAATTTTTTGAGGAACCTCCATACTGTTTTCCAGAGTGGCTGCACCAGCTTGCATTCCCATGAATCTCTTTTTGCATCTACAAATCTGGGTTCTTACTGATGCCCTACCCCACCCCCAATATTCTTACCGCTGTCAGTGGCATTTTCCTAGGTGAGGCATTTAGCGTTCCATTTTCAAGAGAAAACCAGTTCCTTTCACTAAGCCTCCAGAAGGCAAGGAGGTGAGTGAAGTCTCATATTCTCTCCTATACTGAGGGCTCCTCCTTCCTCAGCGTTCATTGCTAGCTTGGCCTCAGTACTATCATTTTTTAAATGCAAAGAAGATCTGCAAACCAAGCCCTTTGAGGAAAAACACAAAATCATCAGAATTCTTTAAATGTACCTAGAGTTATGCTCCTTGACTGCTTATTTCTCTCAGAAATGCCAACTCTGCCTATTCTTCTGAGGGAAAGGGAAAAAAAAACATCCTTAATGAAAGACAGCAAGTAAAATTATTACCTGAGAAGCCAGGAGAAGACAGACCTCGGAGTTAGATCTCAGCTTGTCCAGGCAGGCAGAGTACAATGCCCTTCAGCTAGTTAGACCCTGCCCCTACTCTAGAAAGCTGTCTCTGACCAGTCCAGCCCAATTTACACTGTGTTCATTAACCAATCTGCATTTAAGTACCCAATTAGTATTGAATGCTGAGCTGCATCACATTACAAATAATAAAAACATCAATACGTTTATTCCTTTCAATGGGTAGTGTTTCAGAGTGGTTTCTCTCTCTGTTTTTCTTTCTGTGAAGCAGGCTGGGTGAGAATTATCCTCCTTTTAATGTTCATTCATTAACCCAACAAATAGTGTTGAGTACCTGCCACATTCTCTTCTTGGCACTAGGGTACAGAAGAAAACTGATAAGGTTCCTGCCCTCAAAAGCTTATATGTCATTGAAATGATAACTTTGATGTTATGCATATTTCACCACAATTAAAAAGATGTTTTATCTAATATTCATATACCCTTTAAAAAGTGTATATGCTATAGGGAGACAGTAAGCAAATAAACCAGTAACAAGAGATAATTACAGATTGTAATTGACTGTTAGGAAAGAAAACAAACAAAAAAAAAAAAACAAGGCATATGCTAGACAGTAATTAGGAGCGACTTGGGCTGGAGTGGGGAATAAATTTACCTACTAAGGTCTAGGAAGGCTTCTCTTAGGAGGCAACTTGAAAGAGAAGAAGAGGCCAGTTATGTGAAGGATAAACTGTTTGAAACAGAGGAAAGTGCATGTTCGAGGCCACTAAAGCAAGAATGAGCTTGGTGTATCATTGAGGGAATGGGGACGGTATGCCTGGAGAATAATGAGTGAGGTGCTTGGAGGAAAAGAAATGAGGAAATAGAGGTACAAATATGTCAGAGGACTAGCCCAAGTTCACGTGCCTCGGGGATATGATCTTTCTATTTGTCTGTTGTTTGAAGGGTATTACTGGCTTGAGCTAGCTAGATGGGAGATCCCATGGCTGACTTTTCCTTTTGCTCCCTACAGTGGTGATTAGCTTAGAATAGACTGACATAGCTCAGTGATTTGACTGATTAATTGGAGATATGAATTCAGAATTCATTGAACTTAAGATGACATCAGGAAAGTTGAATGACTTCTATGGACTCCTTTATTCCAGTCTTCAAAACCAACTCACCATCCATAGACTGGCCAGGATTACAAATTAACCAGGGTACTTCTTAATCTTGTACAGACTTTTCAGCTGCTGGGCAGGACTTGCTTAAGCAGTTTCCAATCTTATTCTCAGGCAAGGATTGATGTCAATACTTGCATACAGGCAATTGTAAAACATTAGAATCTATTTCACACCCTGCTGGGAAAATTTCTCAGAAATATTTTCCTATTATTATAGTCTGTCATTACTGTAACTAAAGAGGGAGTACCATTCAGGGGTTAAATTTCCTTAGTAATGAGCAACATTCACTTAAATGTTACAGATGCAAAGGGATACTTGAGGACAACCGAAACTAGTTATTTTGTTGGAGAAGCAAAATTGAAACACTGCAAGTTCTATTCTGTTTTAGCACTTACCTGTGACATTCCTGATATTTGATTGATTTATTCCATAAATTTTCAACTTTTTCTGATATTTATATATTTAGGTATGTACATATGTATGTATTTATAACAACTTTATTGGGGTAAAAATGATATACAATAAACTGCACAAATCTAAATTGGATCATGTGACAAGTATGGACGTGTGTATGCCAGTGAAACTATCACCTTAAGCAAATGAACATTCCTCACCTCCCAAATAACCTTCATGCCCGTTTGTGATTCATTACTCTTGCCCCTCCCTGTTCCCCATACCTGTTCATAAGCAACTACTGATCTGCTTTCTGTCTACAGATTCTGTCTACAGGTTGCATTTTCTAGAATTTTATGTAAATGGAATCTTGTAATATGTACTCTTTTTGTCTGGCTTTTTTTCCAGAGCATATTTTGAGATTCATGCATGGTTTTGCATATATCAACAATTCAATCTTTTTTTTTTTTAAGTTTATGTATTTATTTTGAGGGAGAGAGGGAGAGAGAGAGGGAGAGGGAGAGAGAGAGAGACAGAGAGAGAGAGAGAGAGAGGGAGAGAAAATGAATGGGTGCACAATCAGGGGAGGGGCATAAACAGAGGGAGAGAGAGAATCCTAAGCAGGCTAACTGAGCCATCCAGGTGCCCCATGTTTTTAAATTGCTGACTAATAATCCATTGTATGGATAACTCAGCTTTGGTCTAATACAAATAGAGTTACTGGGAACAGTTGTATAGAAATCTTTGTATGAACATATGTTTCATTTACTTGGGGTATATATCTCAGAGTGAAGTGACCAGGTCAGATGTTTAGTATAGCTTTGTTTCCAAGTTTGTTATACCATTTTACATTCTTACAGCAGTGTGGAAGTTCAAGCTACCATATGCTTGCCAGTACTTGGTAGGTTCAATTGTTAAAATTTAGCTATTTTAATAGGTGCATAGTAATATTACTGTGGCTTTAATTTGCATTTTCCTAATAACTAGTGATGTTGAGCTTTTTTGTGTGCTCATTTGCCATTCATATATCTTCCTTGGTGAAATGTCTGTTTAATTTGCCCATTAAAAAAGTTAGGTGGTTTGCTTTT